GGGGAGCTGGAAGATGAGAACTGGCGACTTTGTAGTACAACTTTAGTGCGCGGAGTAGCTGGGGATGACCTACAAGAGTGTCCCACAAGAGTGTCCGTCAATACGGCGTGCGGCGTGTCGCTTCAGAGAGGGATGATTGGTGGTATTATGTGATATGTTTGCGACTAGTGTGGCGGACCTATTCAGCGTTGTGCTGACACAGCGAGAAAGACACCAAGAGGTTGGCGCTCCTGAGCCACACTGTTGTGCTGCCGTATCTCTGCGCATCGACGTCTACACCCCCTCAGCTGTGCACAGACACAGACACAGATACACAGGTAGACGCACACACACACAGAGACCCACACACGGACTCGACACACTAGACTGAACACTTCACACTTAACACTTAACACATAACTCACACTCTAACTTCACACGTGATGAAAAATGCTTTCGGGCCACTCGTCGTCTAGTTGAATGAAGCATCGGGGTGAGCACCCAAGCAGGTTCGGAATGGAGTTAATGATCGATGTTGTTTGATGATAACATCACTTGTCCTGCCAATCAATCTCCTGTTGGGCTCCATCCTTGTCCTTTGGGGAAGGAGGGGCTTTAATGAGCCGAAAGCCCGACCGATTGGATCATGATGTATATAGTTAAATTGTAATGAAGCCTTCTGAGTTTATGGTACTGCACAACTTGCCAAGGCGAAGAATTATGAGAGCCAATAAGGTTAAGCTTAGAGTCAGGGAAGGTAGGAATTGATGCTTGGTGCACCCTTGCATCTCATTGAGGCAATCTTGTGTGAACTTGCATTTCGATGCAACTCTCTTTGTAATCTAAAAAATGAAGGGGCATTGTTGTCTTCAGGCCGTGCCATGCTCTTTGAGACATCCTTGCTCAGGAGGAGCAACACCCAGATGATGTGAGGATGAGTGGCCATCGGTTGAACCGCGGGAGCGTGCAGAGCACAGGGAGCATGCAGAGCGCGGGAGGGCAAGTCCGGGCTGCCAGTGTGTCGCACACGCGGACGACGTCGCACAACCACCACTGGGATCACAATATCCAACTCCAGTTCGCGGAGAAGAAGAACAAGGACCAGGCGCTGTATTTTCTTTTTTTGGTTCCGTGGTCATGACCTGTCCTGATTGGTCACGATTTGTTGTTCTTCTCGTTGGTTCCTGTTGTTTTTCAATGAAACGTCCACACTTCAATCGACTGCGATGGACGTCCACTCGCGTCTCAAGGCCAAGATCCAGGACCCGACAGTGGAAGGAAGTAGCAACAGTTTGAAATATACCAGCTGCTTCATGGCTGCTTGGTGGCACCAGTGAAACGTCTCGGTTGGCTTGAGATTTTGGGACAGGGAATATGACACCACTCTTGTTGAGAACGATGTGTCCAGCGACATCTACTGTGTGGGGACTTGCTTGTTACAACCAACGGCCTGCAAAGCTCCTGGTCAATGAGACTGAAAAAAGAGATGTAACATGTCCATCCAAACTACCAAGCCGCTTTTCAGCACACACATTTTCTATCAATCTCTTGTCTCCTACGTCTCCGTAATGATGCTGTGAAGGACCAACGTGGCACATGCCGCTCCGACTTCTCACCGCTCCGGTCGTTTGGTGCCCGCTCCGGTTGCCGCGTGGTGTCGGGTGACGGGTTTTCCGGGTGAGGTGAAGGGGCAACAGTTCGTGGCCTCGAACGCCTTCAACTACACGATTTTGTTCCTCATCTTGTTGAACCTGGTGCTTCTGGGCATCGAAGTGGATTTGGCCTCCGGAATGCCCTACGGTGAATCGCCCGTGCCCTGGAGCCTTCATGTGGTGAGAATGGGAACGTGCGAAGCGGACAGGGGATTCATGGCCGGAAAAGAGGGACTAGCCCTCCAAAAACTCAAAACTGTTTCGGTCTCATTGTGGGTACAGAGTGCGCCCCAGTTGAATCCCACAAGGGCACTCAAAGATATGTTGCTGAGTCCTTGGCTAGTCCACTGCAGTCATGTCATGCATTTTCGATTTACTGCACCTGATTGTCCTTGAGTGTATGGTGTGATGGAAAAACACTCTAGTACCGAAGCCTCTTGAGGAGCCAGCCTGGCTCATGCGCCTCCAATGTGGTGGGCCCAACAGAGCGAAACCACTGAATCGCCTGGCAAACCACACGTCCCCACCTCCCCGCGCCACTAGGCCTGGTTTGCGGAGATCAATCTGCTGGTGGTGGGCATCTTCTGCTTCGAGGTCTTGGGCATCGTTTGTTGCTTCGACTGGTCGGCTAGTTGGGAGGCAAACACCATGACTGCCAATGTGCACGCACGTTGATGGCATGCTCCTCCATGGGTTTGGACTCTCCATCCATCCAGTGAATCCAGTGTCCATTCACAAGGTGCAGAAATGCAGTGCAGGAGTGGCAAACACCGTCGGTACAGGTGCCTAAAAGCCTTAGCAGTTGACCTCTTTCCACATCTTTGGATCAATTGCCACATATTTTTCTTGCTACTCTCTGAAGCAGTCGCGAATCTCGGGAGGTCATTGCCAAGATCTTTTTCTTCGGCATTCGGCACTTCTTCTGCGGCCGAGAGCCATGGCGGGGCCGCGATCGCGCGTGGATCCCATACGGGACTGGCCTAGACTGGCCCAAACTGGGAGATGAACATCTTGATTGTTCTTCCCCAAATGAGGAATTCTCATGCCTGAGGCATGCTAATGGACGAAAGATGGAGAAAGAAGCGTCGAAAGTTGGCACTACATGTTTGGCCCGAGTTGACCCCCCTCTAAAATAGGGATCAAGCAAGTGGCCTGTGGTACTCAAGTGGCGTGTGTCACTGTGCACCTCCATTCATCATCATTTTTACTTTGTTTGGATGGCTTAAGCATGGAAAAAAGCGCTCTGACTTTTGTGGCAGTGTGGTTCTTCGGGCCTCCGGACTATATCTCATTTCTTTGTCCTGACCGGTTCCTGCCGGTGCCGACCGTCGACTTCTGCCGACCGGGGCGCAGGTGGAACATCTTCGACTTCATGGTCGTCTTGCTCTCGGCAGCTGGGCATGGACCAGAACATTGGACGTTGCTTTTGAGCGGTTGCCACGTTGAGCAATGGCGGACTGGATTCATTGCGGTTGATGAATGGAGCAGAGACACTGGCACCAGCTGGAACCTGCATGTCACAGAAGCTGCCAGCGTTATTCATGGTTTACCTATCCCTGAAGCAGATGTATCTGCATGTCACTGATCTTACCGCCTTGCGTTTCCCCCGATCCTTTTCCTCACCCGACTTCCACGCGGTCCGTGGTCCGTGGATCTGGGCCTCAAAGCTGTGAGGTCCTGGAGGTCTTGATTGAGTTCTTTATTCAAATCACGACCTCGGAGTTCCTTGGAAAAAAAAACAACGAGGTGTCGGTGTCGGACATTCGGATGCGGACATGAAGGGCTGGAAGACGACGGCGGTCGAGTTGTGGACTAAACATGTTCAACAGTTATCCCAAGAGGGGGGGCTGTACTTAGAGACCCTGAAGCATCCAGGTTTTCCCAAAGGTGCGGCTGCCACCCCCCCCCAACAGATGGCTATGGCCATCCAGGAAAAGCTACGGTGGAACTTGAACGTGTTGCAGGGAGATATATAGTTCTCCGGAAGGACACCGGGGCTTACAGGTTCCCATTCCCTGTGGCGAAAATCCTAATCCTGAACCAAGTCTGGAGGTCTTGGAACATGCAACATGTCAAAAAGGATTTAAGGAACGGAGAACCACCGATTTAGTGAGTGTGGATGTGATTGAATCAGGCAGAAGGTTGGGTGGTCAGTCTGGCAAGTCGGTGTTTTTTCCATCCCACCGAAGCGATCACCTGCAGCGAGAGGGTGTTTTTCTTCTTCGATGGCTCTCCTGCATCCAAGTTTTGATGCTTCATTCAGCTTTCTTGATCCGAAATGCAAGACCTTCAGAGCCTCTTTGTGGAAGTACGATGAAATCGCCTCTTTGTGCAAGGCTTTTTCGGAAGCAAACCCCTTACCCACTGGGCAGATAAGCAAATTCCTGCAGCAGATGTGGTCCTTCGACGAGTACTTCGTCTTGTTGTAGGAACCTGAAAAGGTCCATGGAAAGGCGAAAAACTCTTCAGAACGTCTTCAAGGAGTCTCTCATTCCCATCCTCCAAGGTTCCAACGCACCTACGCACCTTACCATTTGGACGCAACACGCTCTAAATGAAGGTTCGGGGAGCTCATTTTGGCAATATATATTCTCTCTCTCTCTCTCTCTCGTGTCTCGCTTCGACCCTGACCGGAGCCTTCTCCGCCCACCAGGATGGACACCAGCAACCTTCGGGTCATGCGCTTCGTCCGCGTGGCCCGGACGCTGCGGGGGGTCCGCGTCATCCGACTGCTGCGCTACATCGGCTCCCTGCGCACCATCGTGGCTCGGTGGAGCATTCGGTGGCTCAGTGGGAGGAGCGGGGTGGTGTTTCTCTCTTTAGAGGTGAACGTAGACCATCTCAGATAGGTCTGGTTCTTTCTGCTGCCCAGATGTTCTCCATCGTGAGCACGCTGGGAAGTCTCTTTTGGACTTTGATCCTGCTGCTGATGCTCTGGTACTGCTTCAGTGCAGCTTGGAGCATGCATCGGGTCTCAGCGGTCTGTTGGAGCAGGGGTCGGTGGGCAGCTTGTGGTTCTCCTTGTTTCAGAAGGTGCTCGATCTTCAAACATCTCCACTCCAATGAACGAAGAACACAAACTGCTCAAAGAGACTTGGCAACTTTGGTTGTTACGTGTCAATTATCAGAATAAGATATCCGGCCTGCATCGTACTCGGCCGGTTGACTCGTCCAGAGATATCCCATTTCTTCGTCCCGTTTCTTCTGTGTGGCTCGGTCCCGATGTCACCCAAGGTGATCATCACGCAATCCGTTGCGGACTACTGCCGCTTGAACTTCCTCTTGGACAACAACGACACGTGCCCCCTGGAACTCACCAGGCGCGCTGGTGGATGGTTTTTTCTCTTGCTTTGCAAGAGATCGGTTCGTTCTTCGTTTGCTTGCGGTGCATCGGGGTTTACATGGGAGTGGACGGAGTATGATGGAGTGGATGCGGTTGCAGCTCAAAACGCTGCGGGGCAGATAGTTTCACATGCGGTCATCATAGTCCATCAATCATGATTTCATGCGGTTTCATAACGGAAGCCAAACTGTCAGTTGCAGAGGGGTTGGTCTAGGCATTGAAACGTGATACCGAAACTGGCCTCTGAGAAGAAACCAGTGAATCGTGATCTTTCGACCAACTCTGAGCCCAAATTCTCAAAACAATACTCTCAATGGTTGCAGTTTGCTTGCTTGATTGTCAGTCTGTTCCATGAAAGAAACGGTGAAAAGAGGACCGACTGCCCTTGTACCTCCACCGTTCCGAACTCGGCTGTCCCCGCCAGAAGATGCGCCGCACCACCGACCGGAACCCAGCCGCACGACCGGAACCCGGTGGCCCAGACATTGGAGTTCGGTGGCCGAGAGCATGTTGACGCTCTTCCTGGCCATTACTGGACCGGTACCGACGCGGCGTTCGCGTGGTGCCCATGTGGTGCACAGGGTTCGCCCGGCGGCGGAAAGGGGGGTGGTTTCGAATAGGGAGGATGAAACGGACGCGAACAGGTGCTCTTTGGTCGCTTTCTGAACAGGCAGTTAGAAAATACATCTCAATCCAACATTTTAACAGCTGCTCTAGCAAGGGACTCAGGTACAGTGTAACAGTGTAAAACGAAAACGAAGAAGGAAGTTTAAGAACCCGCCTTTGATTGGTCCTTTCCTATGACATGGCTTTGGTGTGTGAAATTCACTGCACTTGTACTTTCATCGGTTCCCTTTCTTTGTTTCAGTCAACAGCGGTTTCGGTTCCGGTTCACCTCCGCGTTCGGCCCCCAGCATCGACTCCAGAGTGAACCACTTCGCCAGTGGGGAACCCCCCCCCAAGTGAACGCTACGATCCTTTTTCGACATCGGCGTTGTGGCCGCCTGTGGCCCTGTTTTTTTGTTGTGGTTCAACATGAATTGCCATCGTATTGCAGCAGCTTTGTAGTTGGTGCCACAAGCTTCTGCGCAGCTCCCTTTCTTCTTTGACCTCCGCAGGAGGTTTGAGCTGGTCAGATGCTTTGTTTCCTTTGCGTTCGGTGGGCTTCACACCCTTCATCAGCTTGTGTGTCTACATTGTGCCTGGGCCTTCGAACACCTCGACGGCGTGACATTGAGGACGCTTTGCTTTTTGGCACCCGCCTGTAGACCAAGTTCGACCACATGAAGGACCTAAGGACCATGAAAAAGAAGGGTGCCAGGTTTTGTTGGGCATATTAATCTATATACTATAATAATCTATATAAAACAATTTAGCTGTTGTGAACAAGCCTGGGGGAGTTCTCCTTGTCGTTCTTGGGGAAAGACAACCCCGGATACGTTGGTCACACATGTTCAAAGATTGAACCGACTGTGTCCCACGGAACACCCCTACGTTGGAGGGTGAGAGACACAAGCGCCTCACTTGGGCAGTTGCTTTTTTGAAGAGTGGTTGGGAGCTGCTTGTCAGTCAGCTTGCGTTTGATGTTCCGTGTTAAACATGGATGACTTGCAGGGCTTTTGAATAAAGACCCCCGAAGAGCTTGGGATATTTAAGAAAGAACATGTCCAGTGCACATCTACATGCAGGGTCTGAGGGGTGTTTGCTTTTACCAGTGCTTTTACCAGTCTTCCTCATCTCAATCGACTGGTTGCTGTGGCGAAGCGCTGGAGGTGATTACGGTCTTCGCTGTTTTGAATGCCGCTTGGGATGTAGAGCCGCTGGTTGCTGGTTCGGTGGGCTTTTGATCGGAACCTTGTCTCTCCCACAGCTTGGATGAATCAATCCGTATCTTCAAGCCCTTTTCACTGGCCAGGAGTCCTGACATTCTTGGGATCGGGGTATAGCTAAAGGGAAGAGTCGTGAAGCCCTTTCGAACAAGGTGACCTACCAGATCCTACCAAATCGACCAACAGGCGTGCAAAACAGCTGGTATCACCAGTGCCTGGTGGGGATGAACACAAAGGATTCCACTTCTTAGATAGATATATGGGAACCTGAGAGAAAACCAGCCCGTGTGGTGCTGGGAATGGACCCCATCGCTCATGTTTCACGTCATTCATACCCCGTTGCTCCCGGCATGAGTCAGGTGGTCACAGGTGTGCTCCTTGGATCAACCAGCGAGCTTGGCGGTGACGAGGAAGAGGTCTTGGGCCGAACACACGGTGCACTTCCGAAGCGAGAAGATGGGCTTCCAGCTGGGGTGAAGACAATCTGCAGTTCTCACTCGAGCCTTTTCCGTGTGGGAGACCAGACAGTTCTGGTCCCGAATACTTGCAAACCACCTGCTGGGGGAAAAGAGATATTTTTTCCACATGGTTTGTACAGGTGGAGAGTGTTGTGGCACCGAAACAAAACACACCATTTTGATGGGCCGCCCTGAAAAAGGAAGAGACACTTTACAGTGATTGGTCGCTCTCCTTTGATGCAGCCATTCTGATCCACCCTTTTCTTTGGTATTCTGATCAGGGAGCTTGCAGAGCTCATGGAGCTCACATCCAGAATCACTCAAGCCAAGCAGAAACCCTTTCGCACGGGCCGCACGGGCGGTCGCTGTTCCCACGGGTCCTTGCTGGGTCGATCTGACCGCGGTGCCGGCGCCGAGGTTCTGCAACACCGCGATCGAATCGGCTGGGGCCGACCGGGACCGAGTGACGCGGTGGATCGCGGTGGATCGCGGTGGATCGCGGTGGATCGGGGGACCATGCAGTTGGATCGAGCAAGATGAAGGTTCATTTTTGGAAGAACTTACTATATGAGTGAGCTTGATGTTGGGTGGATTCTTTTCAGGCGTCGTGGTGACGGGAGGGCTTATGAACTAGAAAGCTTCGATCCCATCTTCCCTGCATCCACCGGACGTGGCTGATCGGTTTGGTCATCCCTCCGCTGAGGCGAGGCCACAGAGCTGACAGAGCTCTGGCGAAAAACCATATCCGGGCATGAGAGCATTCGCCCCAGTGACGGCTTCTTCTGTTTTTGCCACTGAACAGACTTGGAAGCGTTTTTCCCACTGAATTGGTCCTTTCCCCTTTTGGATCGCGGAACCTCTCGGAACGGCTTAGCCGAATGGTCGTCGCACTCAGTCCCGGGGCCCGGACCGCTTTGGTGGTTTGGCTCGTTCGTTGCGCCGACGCGGACCGCAACGAACGATCGACCTCCGACAGGAGATTGCCATTATGAAGCAGATGAAGAAGCAGGATCAGCAGATGGAGACTCTCCGGGAGCCTCTGCCTTCTTTGACCAGGGGCCGACGTTGATCTTTTTCCGGCCAGGCTGTGGGGTCAAACATCAAAGGTCTGGAACCCTTTGCTCTGACTACTCTAACGTTGGTTTCAGGTGATGCTTCTGGCTCACAGGTGAGTGAACTGGAAGAACATGCTTCTGGTCCTTGCCTAGGGTGTCATTTTCCAACAGATGTTTTGGTCACAGTTGAGCTGCCAAGTGATATGGGATGTTTGAGCTTTATTTTTGCTAAGAGAGAAGCCGCAAAACCCAAACTCTGGGTGTGCCATGGTGTGCCTGTGCCATGCCATGTAGACCTTCATACAGATTTTGCTTCTGGGGGTTCGCAGATAAGGAGCCAAAGTGTACATGAGAAGTTCTTTGCACTTCAACAAAGTGTGTATAGAGGGCTTAATATGTAATAGAGTACTGCGGTATCCCAACTCTTTTTGCTTGCGGGTCGTGAGCACCGTGTCAAAAACAACTTCTCAGTAGTTGTTGACATAGAGGTAGAGTGGATGGAGAAGACTCCTCAACCACCTTATCTTAAAACCTGTTCAGTGTTTACACATTTTTCTGAAACTGTCTTTGGAATACTCACTCTATCCTCCACCCGCACGGCATGGCATGTTGGCTTTTCCCATTGATCCTAGGACGTGTTTCGACGCAGGTTGCGTGGGGATGTTCCTCCGGACAGCCATCGTTCCTCAGGTAGACTAGATAGCACGGTGACTACAAGAAAAACACCATACGAACGTATGGGCCCGTATGGGCGTGTATGTTAATAAGGAGGCACTCTGGCCCTGTCTGGGTAGACTGGTCCATTTTCCTTCTTCCAGGGGGTCGAACTGGGAGGTCTCCTTATTTGAGCTACACATCCGATACCTTTGAGATTTTCTGTATTGTGATTCTCAGGAGATTTTCGAGGAGATCGATATCGACTGCTCCAGCCAGATCAACTTAGCAGAGCTTAAGGCTCGAGATCTACTGGGAATAGGATGAAGAAGGCATGGAAGGCATGGAAGGTCTACCCATGTTGTCCAAGTATACGGGGTCATTTAGTAAATTATTGGGTTGCAGGCGAAACTGGACTGGACAGGGAGAAACTGAGACACTCATCAAACCATTTCAAGCCCTGCCCAACATGTCCAAGATTTCCCTAGGAGAGCATGAGATGCATCATCTGTTGGATGCCCATCAACAATCCACGGTGTGGCCCACTCAAGACCTGGAGGGGGGCAGATGAGCTGATGGTTCTCAGCTGCCCACCCTTCGCCAGGACGCTTTGAGGTCTGCGAAGTTGAGAACTTTCATGAACTCCTTGGGCATCAGCACCGAGGAGAGCGAAGTCCTGGGATGGGTTGGGTTGCTTCTGAGACAGCAGCTTTAGGTCATGGTCTTGAAGAGTTTCATCAGTGGGACCCCAGTGGAAAGGAGTAATTATATATATATAATATATATAAGGTGAATTCCAAACGACCACGTCTGATGAGCCAATTCAAGAGAGTCTGAGTCGTCTGTTGAACTTCACGGGTGCCAATTCCAATTCCGGTGCGTCGGTGTGTGCTTCGTAGGTGAACAGCTGCACCACTGGTTACATCGTCGAATCGTTGACATGAAGCAGATCTTTTTTCAGGATGTCTACATGAACACACCGCAGCGACTGCATACCCTGTGAAGCGGGGAGCTGGCCTGTCAGTGGGAGCTGAATCCATCAATGTGTCTCAAGGACTTACAAACCTTTGTCCGTTAATGTTGTAAAGAGAGCAATGCTTGGGGTAACAGCACTATTCAAACGTTTGACTGAACTGGCCAGAGATGCTTTCCCCAGCTGACTGTGAAGGATGTTTGGACGCTCTTCATGTGTCTTGGCTCCAAATCATTTAAGGCACAGCGCCGTTGGATGGAACTGACAGGCTATCAAAGTTGGTGCCATCTGGTTGGTGGCACTTGCTGTGGATGTTCCCAAAGACAAATAACAAGTTGAGAGGTTTCTATAAGCGTACGCATGGCATTTGAGACTTCTGCACTTCCCTTAGCCCCTTGGTTGGGTGAGCCCCATGTTCCATGCAAGCTGAGCAGGACAACCTGAGAGGCCCATCTCTGCTCACCGGATGAATTGAACAATTGATATCTTCGGCCCTCGGTCACACAGGGGTAGTTTGCTTTTGTTTGGCCGTTTTGAACCAACATCTTCTTTATTTCCTCCTGCCCCTCCCAAACCTCCCAAGCATGAATTGGATACCGTGTCCATCGCAAAAGCCCGCTAAGATGGTAGTTGAACCACTACACTTGTCAACAGAAGGTATCGTCCTTGACACGTTCGTCCGTCGTTCAGTTTTGCACATCTTCTTGCAAGCCAATGCTGCGCCACATGCAAGGACAGTGGACACAGATGGAAGTGGTGAGCAGCTGGGTGGCACTGCCGGGAGAGGCCCACGGGCTCGACCATTTGTAACCAACAATCTTACAAGAAAATTGAGTGGGCCTTACTGTATAGTAGTAGTTCCTTACAAACTATCGACAAATATACAAACTATCGACAATTTGTATAGTAGTAGTTCTGAGGTTTGGTGAACAGTGGCCGAAAACTGGCGCCACAAAGTTGGTGAAGTTCGGAGAACCTCACCATTCCAGAGTTCCATCGCTGGTCGCTGGTTGGGAGCTTTTTGGGACATTCCAACATCTCGGCCCAAAGAGAGGAAGTTCCAGGTGAGTCGACACCCAGCCTTTCACCCTTCGCCGTAGGAAGGTGTGTCGACTTGGTAGGAATGGTGTGATCCATGGGAGACATGGGCAGGCCTGCGTAGGTCCAGGGGCCTGAGGTTGACACCATCCCATGGTGAAAAAGCATTAGCATTGAAGTATCCTAGGTCCTAGTACCAGCTACAAGGGGTGGGTGAAACCGTTTGGCAGCCAGACAGACTGTAATAATACAACCAGCCAGACAGACACACTTCACTTCACTCCGAGAAGCCTCGGTTCATTTCCAGGGGAAATGACATCAAGATGAGAATGCGCCGTTCGTATAGCCTTCTAGACTTGAGTGTCGCCGAGTATAGACTTCTCAATGGGTGTCCTGGCGCACGAGTGCACAAAGCATAGAGTAGTGTGGGAAGGGAAGTTGTTGTGTTGTAGCGGTTCACACCCTAGCTCATTCCCTGATCTCCAGGGGTGGGGCAGTGGGTCGCCTGGTCGCTTAGGGTTGCACCTCCCATGAGGGATGCGTCATAGCCACTAGACCACTTCCCGGCCCTCATGGGAAGGGAAGTGCATGGTATTTCGTCCCTGGATCGACTTCATAATGATGGGTCCGCGCTAGTTTTCCTGTATCTCGGGTGTCATTGGCATATGCCCGAGTTTCGCCCATAATAGTTTCGCCCTGTTTCGTCCATGATTGTTTCGGCCTCAGGATTTCCCTGGATGAATTTGTGCACGGATGCATGCAACTGCAAGGGCCAGCCAAAGGCTTGCAGGCATGGGTGTGCGTTTCCCTTTGTGAGTTCTGGGGCACCTTGGCTAGCTTGAGATTTGGTGGAGTAGACTGGAATGGGGCTGTTCCCCTGCTTTGAGAAGGAGGAGTAGAGTAGACAAACCGAGAATGCAGTGCTTTGACTTTCTGTTTTCTCCTTGGAATAAGTAGACGCTTGAAACAACCAAGTCTTGTGAAGCAGATATGATCCAGTCCTTTGCTTTGCAGGTTGCGAGGATGAGCTATGAGAACACGGCGCCTGGGATCAAGCAAGAAGCGCACCACTTCCGTCCAACAATTTGAGGTCAAGAGGTTAGTATAGCTTCTTGTTACTAGTAGCAAGAATGCTACTAGTAGTAATGCCCTTTGTTACTAGTAGTGATGCTCTTGCTCCTAGTAGCTTCTTGTTACTAGAGTAAGGCCAGGAGCTACTAGTAGCGTCCTTGCTCCGTTCGTAGCGATGCCCGAAATGTTCCGTTCGTAGCCTTCGTTAGGCTGTTAGCTCCTCAGTCCGCTCTCGACACTCTCGAGAGTTGAGGTGATGAGGGCCGAAATGAAGAAGATCAGGGAAGATGTGTTGCACTTTCAGACCGTGACTCGGCTCCGTTCGCCTGGCGATGTTCCCTTCTCCAGGGTCTTGGCTCCGGGGCCTAGGAAGAACGACTCGAACTTGTCGCGTACTCTGAGTGACGTCAGGTGCCCTGGGCTCTGAAAGGGGCCCGGTTTGCCTGATTTGGGGGACGACATCTGCATGGGAAATCACGGTTTTCTGACCAGTCCAAAAGAAGTTTGGGTGTAGACATTTGTGACTTTGCTTGCATTTTGACAGGCACTATGATAAAAAGACAGGCATTTTACTTGTTTGGTCATGGTCTGTCCACCTAAAAAGAGTCCACCTTTGTGCTGGAGTGACAGATTTATTTGAGAGCTCGTAGGATTAAGTTTCTGTCATAGGTATTTCTGGGTATCCATCCGCCTTTAGGAGATTCTGGATCTGGAGATCGCACATGATGTTTTTTTCCCGCGTTTTCCGCTGGATTTGAAGGCTCAAATAGGTCATTCAGGCCAACCTCAATTTGTTGGCTTGGGAAGACCTTTTTTGTGGTATGAGATGGTTTGAGTATGTTCGAGTTTGGTTCGGCTGTGCTCTTTTCTGAGGAGATGATTCGAGCGTCACAGACGCGCGGACGGCCACTGAGCATCCAAACGGGAAGCCCAACATCCCCAATGATCTCGGGATGAGCAGCCGGTTGGCTGTGGGCTGTAGAAGTGTCATTCGGGATGCTTTCCAGAATTGTGGTGGTGGAATTGGGAGAACGACCAACGTTCGACTCCACGTTCGATGCGTAAAAAGGAATCACGTCTCGAAAGATGAACGAATCGGCCGAGGCAGTGCCGATCAACGCTTGTGACCGAAAGAACCGTGTGCCCGACACGCCCTCCGCCATCGATCTCCTATCAACTAGGCCGAGTGGGTCGCAGTTAAGATAAACAGGCCATTGTCTCATGTCAATTCTAAGTGAGCTGTGGCCAAAACCCGCAAATGGATGGTGACCAGTGGGCCGACGTTCCAGTCTTTTCCTCTTAGGGTGGTCACACCACACCACCTCTGGCCTGGTGTGGAGACCTCAACTCCCAAATGATAGTCTTACCATAAGATTATTCGAGATACTTTGATCACCCATGCCGGTAATCTGCCCTACTAGACCGACCTACTCCGACCTACCCGCACCGGCAGAAATAGCATGACATAGCACTGCGGCCCAACTTAAGAGAGGTTTTCGTACTAAATCGCGAGGCATTCCACGAGCATGTAAGATATGCCGTGAGTAAAAAGAAGAACTTTGATAGTATATGATATGTCTAATTCGTGTCCCAAATGCAATTAGCAATTCACGTCGTGCGGTGAAGGTGGACACCCTGAACACATCAGCCCTGTGCAAGTATCGTTCCATTTCAGTTCCCGATCTCTATGAGACCCGAGTCTCATTTTGCAGATTTGATGAAGCGATTTCTGGGTCTATTTCAGGGAAGAACAGCAGGACACAGCTTGTTGCCTTCGGGCTGAGCAGTCCCCAGCAGCCTGATATGATGCTATGCTTTTGAATGACGATCGCGGTCTCCAATGGGCAAAACAAGCTCATCTGAACAAGCGCATTCCCATCAGCACATGTCTGTGGTAGAGATGCTGTGCTTTGGACCTCTCTCCCTCTCTCTATTTTTCTCCCTCCCTCTCCAAATGAGAGGTGTGAGATTCTTTTAGTCAGCTTCAATTCAACAATCCTTGATAATCCTTTGCTTGGCGGCTAGCTCGGCCCCTGGTGCTATTGTCAGAGTGCTGTGAGTGAAGCATACTTGTGGCGCAAGTGGCTCCCAAGTTTGACCCATTAGGCTGTTGGCATCTTGAGTTTTCTTGGAGACAATGACATATGTGACATATATCATATATCTATAATATTAATACATATGCACCTTTAACTGTGATTCGTGTATGCACGTCTCAAGCTTCATGTTCAGTTTGGGTGCTGCTGCTGAGGGGTTGACTGCCCTACTTTCCTTTAGCAGCAGCTTGGCTTGTCCTGTGCACTGTCATCCTTCCCTGGCTTTACCTCTCCTTACCGGTCTGGCTATTGGCATCCTCATTGGCCTTGCCCTGGGTTTTTGGATCGCCTTGCAGTTGCTCCTCCCTCGGTCGGTGCTAACTCCTGACATCCCTGCTCGGCAGCCTACCGACCTCAGGAGACGACCTTCTCGCTTGGCTGGCTACTTGCATGAGTGAACCCAGTTCCTCAGGTGTGCAAGACCAACTTCGAGCACTTACACAAGCCATCCAGGCTTTGACGTTGGTGGTGGAGAGGAGACAGGGCGAAGGTTCAGAAACAGCTCCCAGAGAGGCTACTACAGTCTCTTCCCTCTCAGGTTGGCAGCTGGTGGAGGACAGTGCACCGATTTCTGGGGCTCCCAGTGGGTATCCTCAAAAAGATCCAGTCATCCTTTTCGAAGAAGGCCCTCCAGACACTCCTCAGTTCTGCTACGACATTGCCAAGAAGCATTTGTCATCCTCGAAGGCTCATTCAACAGACAGGGCTCGAGCTTCCTTTGTGGCAGGGTTTTGGGCAAGAGCATTCTGGAAGTGTCACACTGAGTATCACAGTGATTACAAGCCAGGCTTGCCGGCTGTTCATTGGGTGCTTCGCAAAGGAAAAGGTTTTGATTTGCTGCGAGTAACCTCTCAACGAGATTGTGATCGGTTAACAGCAGAGTTCGAGGATATAGTCTTTGTGGAGAAGCTCCCCTCGCTTACAGAGTTGCACATCTTCTGTGCAGGGGCGTCTGTTCCGGTGCCACCTCTGTGGCGATGGAACGGAGAGCGCTGAAAGATGCAGCCACGAATTCAGATCCGACGCTGTTGATCCTCACAGTTCCCGCAGAGATGTCAAGCAGTGCCGGTGAATTGCAAGCTTTTGCCTCACCTCTCATTCTCAGGAGAGGAGGGCTTATGCTGGCCCTTCCTATAGGAGTGATTCGTGAAGATCTCCTTCTACAACCGATTGGGGCTGGCGAAGAAGAGATGATTGGACCTTCTCGCACGTTTGAGGTGGAGCTGACAGACGAAGATGAGCATGGATCTGTGTTTCATACCGGGATCCGTGCAGATGTGTTAGTGATTGACTTCACTGACGAAATTCTTCGTTACTGTCGTGAGTATGATCCGGTGGTTGATTCCCTTGAAGAAATATCCCCTTATAGTGAGGGACTAGCCACAGGGCTTCCCGCGTTTGGAGATCTGCTCACTGCCATCCATAACTGGGCCGAGGAGGAGACCGTGGGCCGTGTCCATTTTTACAGCGCTCGAGAAGAGCAAGATGCCAGACCTCCGGCCCTACGGAAGACACCCGCCAAGAGAGTCACCAATGCTTCCCTCGCCGAGCAAGTGGCAGCTCTTTCTGCTCAGGTGGCAGTGCTGTCCGCTCGCCACGAGACAGCCTCGAGGGAAGTTCCACCGCTACCCAAACCCGGCCAGGCTTCATTTGCCACTCCTGCAACAGAGCCAGGACCTTTGGCGGGCATAGGCTACCGAATGCCCCCGGTCTCAGCAGGACTGCAAACCCCGGCCCGGCTTTCTCCTGCAAAAGCGATGCAGTTGGTGGGGCCCCCTCCAAAGACCCGTACAGGTCCCAGCAGTGGCCTCGCTTTAACGGTGCCCGACGAGCCAGTGGACCCCCTCCGAGCCCCCAAGGACCCTACCGAGTTAGCCTTGAGTCAGCAATCGGCAGCTTTGACTGCTCTCGTGACACATCTCATCCAGGGAAACGATCCATTTGGGTTGGAGGCGAGTTCATCCGGGGCTACCTCGAGTTCCACAAAAGGCACGCTCAGAAGGGAGAAGCTCCAACAAGATTTGGCAGCACGCCAGTCCCAGTTTTTCCTCATGGTGCAACAGCAAGTGTTCAAGAAGCTACACCCGTCCAGCATGTTGCCCAAGAACGAGGAAGAGTTGCAAGCAAAAGGAGCCTCCCTACTGACCTACCTGGAACGGTATGGCGGTTACAGGAACCAGAAGGAGGCAGGTCTATGTATGTGGGTCCTTGCTCACGCCATGGATGCGGCCGCCGCTGGCGACTTTGTGGCTACCAAAGAGTTCTTAGCGCTGGGCATCATGGCATTAGAACAGTCTGTGTTCGATGCGGGAGATTGGGGCCTCGCCTATGTACTGGCCTTGATCGAGGACCCACCTCCTACGATGTTTCAGGACAAGATGGCATCCCTCACAGCAGCGGGCAGACCGTTTTCCCCGTTGGTGCCTCCAGCTTTGGCGTCCATCAACCTTGCCTACCTCAAGGAGATAGACCTTCTTCAGTCCAGGAAAGCAGATGCCAGAGGCAAGAAACCACAAGGGACAAAGGGGGAGGAGGACAATTCCTCACCCTCCCCAAAGAGGAAGCCGAAGTTCCCGAAGAAGCCAAAAGCCCTCACCGATGGGTGAGGAATACACAAACGGAGCCTGAGTCAGAATTCAAGCAGGGGTCCAATGGAGCCTCTTTTGCAGTGACTGGCGATCTTGGGAGGGACCTGCCGAGCACGAGCCCCAATCTCCAGTTTGGAGAGAGCTCACCGCTCATAAGGCCTCCCCGCTCCCCATTGCTTGAGGGTGATCGGGTTGAGGCACATCGCCAAGACCTCGGTCACCCTGAGGCCGGGTTGAGCCGATCGCACTTTCTTCAGTCCAGACAGGCCAACTTCCCAATGTGGTGTTCCATTTTGGTCAAACTGGTGCTGAGATCGAGGAGTTCTTTTTCCGCATTTTTGTCTTCAACCATTCGCATTTCCAAGCAGGCGGGTCCTCGGCTGCCTGGAACTCCGTCTTTGTTCCCTGTGCCTATTCCTCCTTTGTTTAGCCACAGGATGCCCACTTCTCTTTCGCAATGCAAGCGAAGGAGATCGCTGATTGACCGGGCTCTTCATGTCATGTGTATGGCGCTGAATTTTTGGCACTATGGTGGCGAGTTTGGTCAGATGCAGACAATGTGGAGGGAGCCAAACAAGCAACACATAGCTTTGTTTGCACGTGTACGCTCCTTTATCAAGACGGACGGCCTACTTCCCTGCTTTGATGCTCTGAAGGTGGGTCGGAGGAATCCAGAGATTTTTGCACGCCTTGGAGAGTTAACTGGACTCCTCACACAATTGGGTTGTTCATCCTCTCCCTATGACAAAGTTTTTGCAGGAGTAGAAGTGACAGCAAATAATGAGCTTCTCCCGGAGTTGATGCCCTATCGAGATTTGGATCCCAGCCGTCTGCGTCTTTTTGGTCGAGGTCATTGGGATGTCACGGATTTCTTGGATGATTCACTGGTGATGGCATACAGGGAGCCTTCGTCCATACACTGGGCTCGAACTCCTGAAAGCTGGGAATACCCACGGATACGAGACACCGTGGAAACTCTTGGTCAATTAGCTCACCTTTGGGACAAGCAGGGCCTTTTGATGCTACATCAAGACGGGGTGGATGACAGGCCATCCTATGAGCTCGTCCGCATCTTCAACTGCTACAAAGCAGCAGACCGAGACAGACAGATAGGAGACCGTCGAGGCCGCAATGCTGTTGAGTTCAAACTGAAAGGCCCATCTTCAGACTTGCCCTCTGCAGTTGATGTATGTGACCTTTGGGTTGACCTGACTACTCAGAGGCTCTCTCTATCGATCACGGACCGTCGTGATTTTTATCATCAACTGTGGGCAACTCGTGCACGGGCAGTCTCTAACACTTTGGGACCCGGGCTTCCTCAGAGCTTGGTGGAGGACACTGAAGCCTACCAGCATTTCCTTTTGAGGCAAGCAACCTTCAGTTTCAAACGAACACAACATGGAGATCATCTAGAGAA